TGATCAACAACATTTCTCTTTGTATAATTATTTTGTACACAATTCTTTTCATACAGAGGTCCCAAAATATTCATAAACTCATCATATGATCTGTTCACATCATCAACATACACACCTTTCCAGCTGTGTTTATGTAAATCATCTTTTAATTTGTCCATTGCTTTTTTTGATGTGTTTATTGTTTTTTTCTTAATTGTGATTTCTTTTGTAATGCTTTGATCATTTTTATAAATCGTGAAAACTGGTAAATGATCACTCAAATCTCTCATTAAAATACCTCCCATCACATCCCCATTTGTTACATTTGTGAAAATATTATCGATTATTGTAGCACTATGAGTTGTAATTCTTGTTGGTTTTGATATTAACGGATAACGGCTGCAGGTTTCTTTTCAAATCCTAAAGGAGAGTTGGCGTCATTATCAGAAGGCAGTTAAAGCCGCCAAATCGAAGTTCTTTTCGGCAATAATTGCCTCAAACTCCCACAACCCCCAAGCCCTTTTTTCCACCCTGAACTCAGTTCTACACCTCAGTGAACCTTCACCTCTAGAAGCCTCAACTGAGCTGTGTGAAAACTTCCTCCATTTCTTTTCTGAAAAAGTTGCAAACACCCGGGCACTCATTTCTCCACCTGCTCATGATCCGTCCATCCCATCTCATTGTGTTGCTGTTCTTGACCACTTCAAGCCCATCTCTCTGTCTTCCCTGGAGCAGGTCATGTGCGGCATGAAGCCATCTGGCTCCCCTTTTGATGTTGTCCCCCGTCGACTCCTTAAGGAGCTTCTTCCTGTTCTGGGCCCTCTTGTTCTTGGCATTGTGAACAGCAGCTTAGCCTCAGGTGTGGTGCCAATAACTTTTAAACATGCTGCTGTCCAACCTCTCCTGAAAAAACCTAGCCTTGACCCCTCAGTCATGTCCAACTTCCGGCCTGTCTCCAGACTCCCATTTGTCGCTAAACTACTGGAAAAAATGGTGGAGTCCCAGCTGAAATGCTTTCTAGAGGATAATGCCATCTTAGAGCTATTCCAGTCTGGCTTTAAACCTCCCCACAGCACTGAAACTGCTCTACTCAAGGTTTTTAACGACATTCTCCTATTCACAGATGCTGGTGATTCTGTGCTCCTTCTCTTACTGGACGTCACATCTGCCTTTGATACAATCGACCACGAGATCCTCATTGCAAGGTTAGAGCAGTGGGTGGGCATCACTGGGTCAGCCCTCGAATGGTTTAGATCTTACCTCGCTGACAGGTCCTTTTGTGTCTCCATCAAAGATTTTAGTTCAGCCTCGGCAGCGCTTAAATGGGGGGTACTGCAAGGGTCCATCCTTGGTCCTCTTTTATTTTCTTTATACCTGCTGCCACTAGGTACTATTTTCAGGAAACATAACATACCTTTTCATTTCTACGCCGACGACTGCCAAATCTACTTCCCCCTCAGACTCAACGGTACTCGCTCTATTCAACCGTTACTGGACTGCCTGGCTGACATCAGAGATTGGATGGCTTTAAATTTCTTGAGTTTCAACGAGAAGAAATCTGAAGTTATGCTGTTTCCTCCCAATGACACAATCACCAACCACTGCATCGACCTATCCGTTCTGTCACCGTTAGTGAAACAAAGAGTCACTAATCTAGGAGTGATACTTGACCCTTCTCTGAAACTCATCAATCATGTAAATATGATTGTTAAATCCTGCTTTTTCCAGCTGAGGCGTCTGTCAAAGCTGGAGCCCATATTGTCCAAAAATAACCTGGAGACAGTAATTCATGCATTCATTACATCCAGGCTTGACTATTGCAACTCACTCCTTTTTGGTATCAGTCAGACCTCCATAGCAGACTCCAACTGGTCCAAAATGCAGCAGCCCGGTTTTTGACCAGCACAAGCAAAAGAGAGCACATTACACCTGTTTTGGCCTCCCTACACTGGCTTCCGGTTCACCTTCAAATCAAATTCAAAATACTCTTGTATGTCTATAAATCACTAAACAGCTCTGCCCCCTCCTATCTTACTGATCTGCTCCAGCTGTATGTCCCACCACGTTCTCTCAGATCAGCAGACCAGTTACTCCTAACAGTCCCAGCAACCTGCCTCAAGCGCAGAGGTGACAGGGCCTTCTCTGTAGCAGGCCCAAGACTTTGGAATGAGTTACCTCTGCTCGTTAGACAGGCCCCCTCCCTCACAGTTTTTAAATCTCGCTTAAAAACACACTTTTATTCCCTGGCTTTCTGCACTGTGTGATCTGTGCTGAGTCTGTGTGCATCGCACTGTGTTGGTCATGTTGCGGTTGTTGTTGTTATCCATTATTGTTTTTGTTGGTTTCTACTTTTTGGTGTCCTGTTATGTAATCTGTTGCTATGTGCTTGTTCTGTTTGTCCCTGTACAGCACTTTGGTGTGCTTTGTCACTGTTTAAAGTGCTATGGTATGGATAAAGATTTAAACTATACAATGAATTTGTAAATGTACTGATACTATTTGAATCTGTTTTATTTACCAGGTCAATATTAAAGTCTCCACACAAAAAAATGCTTTTATTAAAACTCTTGTCCAATAGTTGTACGATTTTATCAGTGAATATCTCTATATTTGATCCTGGAGATCGATATACACAACTTATCAATATGTTTTTATCATTCTTGTTTATTATTTCTATTGTTATCATTTCCATGATATTATCAACAATTATTGACGTTTCATTAATTAATTTACATTTTATTTCATTTTTAACAAATAGAGCCACTCCATCACCCCTTTTGTTGCTTCTGTTCACATGATATAATACATACCCTTCGATGTGAACATTATTTGTGTATTCATCGTTGAGCCATGTCTCTGACAGTGCTATTATTGTAAAGGTTCTGTTTGGCTGTTTTAAATAATCTGTTATTTTGGATATATTTGCATTTAAACTTCTACTATTAAAGTGAATAATAGAGAGACCTCCATTTGTTATATTGATGTCATTAAACTGTTCTTCATTGTAATATTCACAGTCTTTTATTGTAGGGAATAAATTTGTATCAATCACATCTTCAACATTGTATATTTTAAACTCTAAGTCTTCGTATGTTGCCATGTTTTAATGTATTTGTTCATTTTATATTTTGTTAATTTCTTGTTTGTGAAGTTATGTCAATGATTTATCATCTGTCATTTCCTAAGCTCATTTTAGTCTTTCCAGATCCTTCAGGTCTTTTATTACTTTAGCCTGAGATCCTTCCTCTAGTTTGATCCAAATGTTTCCATTTCTTGTCCAAGTTGATGCTATTTTTTTCTGTTTTTTCAACCACCTTGCTTCACGTGCAATATTTCCATTTTTTTTAGTTAGATGTTCGTTTATGTAAACATTTGTTCCCTTCAGTTTTTTTGCTTGCATTATTACCTTGTTTCTTGATTTCCTGCTGATGAACTTGATGACTATGGATGGTTTGGCTTTATCAGATTTGTTGGGCAGTGTGTGACAGATTGAAATGTCCTCATATTCCATGTCAATGTTTTTGTTTTGTAAAAAATTCACTACTTGCTTCTCCAGAGTCTGTAGTTCTTCCTGTGTTGCATCTTCTGTAGTACTAGTACCAGCAACAACTCTTGCATATGTTCGGTTCCTAACTTCCAGTCCAGTGATCACCAAGTTGTCTATTTTTGTGTATTATTCCATGTCGTCTACTTTCTGTTCCAGTTCAGCTTTTTTTCTGTCTTTATTAGTCATCAGTTCTTTCAATTGTCTCACTTCTTCAAACAGTCCTCTCAGTAATTCACATTTAGCTGATAATTTAGTCAGTTCAGCACTCAAAAAGTTCAAAGATTTTTTAACTTCCTCCATATCTTCTGAATAATTTTCTGACACTTGTCTCTTATTTCTGCGTTTGCTCGGCATTACTCACGATACTTCTGGATTATTGGTCTCAACTCTCAGAAGCACAGGATCCAGCCACGAGGTTCACAGGCTTATGTTGTTCGCTTATGTTGTTAGCCGAGGCCTAGCCAGGTCTAGCCGAGGCCTAGCGGCAAGAACCCCCAGGTCCCACGTGGTCTCACGATTCACTCGGTCCAGCAGTTCGCAGCCCCAACGGTGACAGACCAGGTCCCAGTTGCAACAGCTCCCAGATCCCACAGCTGTAGTCTAGCTTCCTCTGTTTCAGTGGCTCGCAGGTCCTATCGGCGGCGGACCGGGTCTCCTCCGTAAACAGTTCAGTTCCAGCAGCTCGCAGGTCCAATCGACGGCGGACCGGGTCTCCAACATAAACTGCTTGGTTTCAGCGGCTTGCAGGTCCAATCGGCCGCAGACCGGGTCTCCGACATAAACTGCTCGGTTTCAGCGGCTCACAGGTCCAACAGCGGCGGACAGGGTCTCCGCCGTAAACAGCTCGGTTTCAGCGGCTCGCAGGTCCAATCGACTACAGACCGGGTCTCCGCCGTAAACGGCTCTGTTTCAGTGGCTCGCAGGTCCAAACGGCGGCAGACCGGGTCTCCGCCGTAAACAGCTCGGTTTCAGCAGCTCGCAGGTCCAAACGGCGGCAGACAGGGTCTCCGCCGCAAACAGCTCAGTTTCAGCGGCTCGCAGGTCCTAACGGCGGCGGACCGGGTCTCTGCAGGCCTCACTAGCCGAAGCAGCTCTCTGGCCAGCTCGTTAGCCAAACGTTAGCTAAACGCATATATATATATATATATATATAACAGTTTGTTTTTAGATTGTTATTTGATTTTGCTCTGGGGGGTTGTAGTAATTGTTTTAAGTTTAATAATCACAGTATTGAGCACAGTTTGAACTTTCAAAAATAAAACCATAGGAAGTGGGTAAACTGTCATTTAATAGTTTTACAGTTTTAATATTTATACCTAAAAAGAACAGAGATGATATAACATCACTAGGCTTTTTTCTGCTGTTAGGGACACATGGGTTATGTTTTACTTTCATTTGTCAAGAATCTAAAATGTTCTGTTTAACTTTATTTTTCATACTGTTCATTTAAATAAAGGTTTTCTTTTATACCAAGGAAAAGGAGAAGCTGTATGTAGAGCTGAAGCATATTTTGGCCCAGCAGCCCGGTCCAGAGGCAGCTGAACAGCTCCAGCAATGCCAGTGGACCATCAGAGATCGAACCAAAAGGCTTAAGGTCATCATACTTTCTTCAGTTTACACCTTTTCCAACATCGTTTTCCAGTGTTTTTGGTTGTCTCGTGGTGGTGTGTCCTTTTTATTTTCATTATGACTTGATTATGATTTGTCTGTCCCAACATCTGTTCAATTGTTGTGTGGTATTTGCTGTTATTCCACAGGTACTTATAGCAGAACTAACTATGCTTGACTCCAAGATGAATGAATACAAAAACGAGAATCAAAGACTGGCCAACGAGTTAGCAATTATAAAGAAAAAGTATCTAGATCAAAAGAAGCTTAACAGGTAAGGCCTGTTTTTGTTTTACATCATAATTTAACATGAGTTTGTTCACACTCTGTAATGCATTGTGTTTAGCATTAGTGAGCAGAAAACCAGGACCAAAGTTGATCAACTGGAGCTTTTGACCGAGCTAAGCAGCAAACCTCACTTCAATGGAAAAGGCTTCAGGATTGACCCACCTGTGAGATGTTAGCATCCCATACAAGAGTTTCTGTATCAGCATATTTGAACATATTGTCGTGGCTGGTTACCACGTCGTGTTCAAGACAGCTGAGACATCGCCCTCGGTATAAAAGATTTATTTGACAAACAGGGGTTACAGATATTCAGAGACAAACAATTACATTAAACAATATATGCATATATTTGGAGCATTAAAGAACGAACCGTCTCGGTCTGGTCTTCCCCGGAAATGCCCGCTGAGCGTGTGTCATTTCCGGCTTTTATAAAAGCTTGGAAAAGCTAGCTCCTCTGATTGGTTTAGCCCTTCAGTTGCCATGGTTACTGGTGTAGCCCGCCCCCTGAAGGACGTTAGTTAAAAGTTTATGGCACACTGAAATCGTTCGTTTTAGCTCCGTTTAACGTGATTATACCTTAGTGATACCAAATGATTTGAATTAAAGTTGTTTATTTCTAGGAATAATTAATAACAATTAATCATTATCTAACTCATGTTTGCGTGTTCTTACTTGATCCTTTTTATACTTCTGTTTTAGTTTAGTTGCTTTGGTTGGATTTTACTTAGTCAAACTATATTAAGTCTAAATTAAAGAGATGTGTTCTAGCTTTATTTATGTTAATCAGTCTGCTATCTGGCATGATTTGATTGCTTGTAATATATCAAATGTGAACTTGTAAAATTACCATTAGCTAATATAAAATTATATGTAAAGGTAAAATAGTTAGAATTAGTAAACATTTTCTATAAATATAGTGCAACCCTGGAAGAAAGACACACACACACTTTGTATATCATGACATTTGAATGCTTGATAGGAAATATAAAAAGGTATAAAAATATGAAATCCAACAATCCCTCTTTTGATCTCCCCATATTCATGGGAGATCACCCCTTTTTGGATTTGTCCATATGGAAGTGACCCAAACTTACTGCAACCCTCCAGGGGTCCTGGACCAGACCCCTGGTTCAAACCCTTCAAGGCCTGTAAAAAATACCAAATGCATAAACCTTTATAAAAATACAAAAATTACAACACTCCTAGTAAAAGATAAATGCCTCACACACTAAAATAAGTAACACTCTACCCTAATACCAAAATTGACCTCTTGTTAAACCACCTTTAAAATACCTCGTGGGATTTTAGAATGATGAAATGCCCAATTGAATGGAGTAAAATTTTGAATAGTTAAAAGCTTCCAATTGAATCCACAACCCTTCTCTGGTTGTTTTTCAGAATGACTGAGAGGAACGACAAGACACTCATATTAAACAGGAAAAAACAACACCCTCAATTTAAACAGGTCTATCTAGCAGGTCTTCGGTTCTTGAGCTTGCGGTGGGAGGCCTTGTTCGTCCACAAGGGTCCTTTTGGTGCTCGGCGGGATTCAGCCCGTGGAGATATCTTCATGTAAAGTCCTCAGAACCTTTATTAGTCTGATCAGACATTCTAAATGACGTGTGTGTGCATTGGGACAAAACTAAAATCAGTTTGACGCGTCTTCTGTTCTTCACGGTCAGGGCTGGTAAACTTCCGTCCTTACCCGTTCCACCTGACTGACCGACTTAGGCAGAGCGGAGACTTCTTCTCCAATGTTTGCTACTGCCTTTTTCCTACCAGAACAAAGGGGCAAAGAGTGAGCTCCCACGAAGGTCCTGTCACCTCCTCCAGGTGTAGCGGGGAGCTGTCCTCAGATCACCCTCCATCTGGTCCAGCGATCGATTCCGCTCCTCTCCAGGGGCGCACTGGTTGTGGTCGTAACAGATGTCACTCTCATTCTGGAGACCGATGGCGTGTGATGTTCTCTCCACCACCTGGTGGCGTCCTGTCCCTCTTTTCAGCAGGACCCAGTCCCGTGTGATGGTCCGTAGTCACTCTCCTCGGTCAGAGATTCTCCCTCCTGATGAGAAAAGCTGGACACCAAAGCTTGCGAATTGTTAAACACCCTGCATGGCCTTTTGCTTATTTTATCTGTGGGATCCATGACCCATTTGTGGGCCTGGAAAAATGACTGTGGTTACTTCCTAGTGAGTAAAACCTGTTTCTTAATTATGGGACACCCTGATGGTTATTATTGCTACTGATAGTGTGTACTCTTACACTGTAATGTTATAATAAAACAGAACTTGTAAAACTGAAATAAAATGCTATTCTTACATTCATCTATACACTTGAAACTGAAATGAGGAACCTACTGGACTTCTCCAGGGATACCTGTGTTCTCTCTTCTCGTCTTTCACCCTTCCAAGCCTATACCACTATACTAAACACATTCTTTAAATAAATTATCAGCGTAACAACAAGCAAGGAGTCTAACAAGGTTGAGTCAGGTCCTCTGGATGGATTCTTCTTTGTTGAAATGTTTAGTCTTTTATCCAAAAGACTTCTTCAGTCTGAGACCCTACAGCAGGGGTGCCCAATATTTTGATCGCGATCTACCGGTCAATCGCAAAGCTATTACGGGTAAATTGCATGGCATTTAAAAAAAGATAAACGTCAGCCTATTCTCACTATGAAATTTGTTACTTGGCTGACATACAGGGCAGCCAGTCACAACTCTCATTCTCTCAAACAAGGTCTCAGAGTGGAGAGATTTTCGGGGGACCCCCATGTGAAATTCTCCGTGTGTGTGTGAAGTTGCACATGCGCACTACAGGCAACTGCAGTCCAAATTTTTTCTACACTAACAACAGTTATGATAAATGGCAGATAGCAGAGTGTTTTGTGCTTCTCACACTTTTTCAGCATGTAGGAGCAAAACAAATAAAATCCAGGGTCCAAAGAGACTTTAGTGTATTCACCAGTTTGGATGTAACTGTGCTGATGCAGACACTGCATGTGCAATGAATGCAGCTGAGCCCTGTATCAGGGTTGCCAGATAAATTTAAAATGTTTTATTTACTCCTCATCTTAGAATATCTTTACTCAGCACATATGACCATTTAGGTCAAAAACTACCATTTTAAAGCCACAGTACTATACTGTAGTTCATAATTTCTTATCTGGCAACCCGACTGACATGGAAGCTAAAGCGTTTTCATGTAAACCCACTCATTTTTTGTTTATTAGCCCAATAAACATTGAAAAAACACTAACATTTCCAGAGTTTATTCTCGTGTAAATGGAGTCTTAGGTAGATCACTTTGACTTGGTCATTTTAAAAGTAGTTGCATGATGAAAAAGTGTGGGCGCCCATGCCCTACAGCAAACTCAGTCTCAGGGGCCGTTTACACAGCGCGTATTTTGAGTGCATCCGCACCTTTCTCTCTGCGGTTATGCTGATCATTTACATGACACCAGTGGCCCCCCTCTTTGAATCCGGAGGTTTCTGAACCCACCTTCCAGAGTGGAGATTTTTCACTGACCGCCCGCTAATAATGTAAACATCTCCCGCTGAGGCTTTGTGTTAAACCAAATGCTCACACGCACGCTCGGACAGAGTCTATATTTCTATCAACATGGCGGCGGATACACTGCTTACGACTGATGGAATATATGTTTAATCTCGTAGTTAAGATACGTTAAGATACGTCTACGTCAGATTCTAGGTGCTGTGACCGACATCTGTGTTGAAAGAGACACACAGTCTGATCCAGTTCTAATATAGCTGTTTATAGAACATGGCATGCGCACACGTTGCGCTGCACTATAACGTCTAAATGTGCTAAATAATAAGTATAATAATAATAATAAACAGTATTTATGTTAGTGTGCGAGATATAATGAAGCTCTAAGCTAAATGAAGCTATCTGGACATTATGTAATTCAAATTTAAAAAGATGCTAAACATATAGCGTGAACACTAAAGTTGAAAATGAAGACATCAGGTTTAATTTTTATTTATTTATTCAACACCACAAACTGTATGTCATACAAATACTGATAATTAAACTGAACACACATTAAAAACGTTAACTGTAAACTACATTAATTAACTGGACTCTCCTCTGTTTTCATCCTGGATGTCTCACATTGTCCATCTGGCTCGTTCAGGCTGTCACTCCTTTGGTCAATGCAGCTTAAAACATTGAATGGATTGAATAAAAGAACTGAGGGGAATTTTAAATAAATAGTTCATCCAACAGCTCTCTTCGACGTCCTCCTGCAGTTCATCTGGGCCGAGCCTCGTTCAGAATCGGTCCGCCTGGTGGAAGGACAGCTCCTTCTTCTTTCAGGAAAAATAAAAACTCGGTTGTTTTGTAATCAAAGTAAACACAAGCAAACATTATTAAAAACATTGTTTTACCTGCAGTAATCAACTACTGATTATCACGGAATAAAGTCCGACATCATCGACTCGGTTCTGGTCCACTCAGTGACCGGTGTGGAGCGGTTATACGATACAGTCCCGCTTGGCATCAAATCTGTTGACTCTCATCCACAATCTAGCCAGAATCCAGCTTTAACTTGTTGTTACGTTGTTGTTAGCTGAGCTTTATAGCTCACAGGAAAGAAGCGTGCCGAGGCAGCACGCATGCACATTAGGTGAAGGTACAAAATTCATAGCGCCATCTAATGACCTGGCATGGTAATTACAGCGGATTTGGGAGGGCGGGGGGGGGGATCCTTTGGATGCATGTAAACCCAAAATCTGACTGTGTCAACGCAAATCTTTTCCTCTAATTAACATACAAAAAAAATTACGTTTCCCCTCCATCGTGTCCGTGTAAATAGGGCCTTATAAACCACATCTTATCATAGTGGGTCAACCAGTTTGCTGTTGACAGTTTGAAATAGCCATTTACATGTGGAAGAACCATCACAATGACAATAGATAACCATTGTCAATAAACCTGGTGTCTGTAGCGATGATGCATGACAGACGACC